TGTTCCGCCTTAATGGCAATAAATAAGCAGACTTTTTTAAATTTCGAACGGGATAAAAAGTATCCTATGTCCTTCTCCTGGGTCTAAACTACCTCCCTGACAATTTTCAGCTAAATCGGTTCAGCCGTTCTTGAGTTATAAGTGGTGTAACTAACACGACTTTCTTTTATACAGGGTGTTAGGTAAATGGGTATATGAGCCGAGACCAGCCCATGTTAACATACTCATATAAATACTATAGTGGTGTCAGAAAGTCTGGGAAAGGTACCATTATTGAGTAATCAGCTGATTCAGTTTTTGTCGCCAAATTGCTTCGTGACACCCCTGAAAATTAATAGTACGACAAACTAGCGTAGATAAAACAAATAACAGAATTCATTATAATTTTCTGCCTAAAAATTTGTGTCTGAGAGGCAAAAACCTTAAGCAATCCCCCAGGAAAATCAGTCCATTTAAAAAGATTTAGCACAAGTCAAATACCCCCTTACCTTATTTGATTCGATTTGGATTTTGGATAAGTAAAAGTAAACAAAGTGGTCAAGAATTAATTTTACTTCATAGACTTACTTATTAAAATAAACTGAATAATCAGGACCGTTCATTGTGGACGTCATTCGGCTGAAATGAATGAACGAACGAATCATTAAACTTGATAACTTTGATTAAGGAAAATGAGACATTGTAGGTAATCATTTAAATTTTATCATCGTAAATCACGATATTGTGTACTAAAAATACCTTAACTAAAAATAAGACACCATTGAAAAAAAACCTTAGGCATTAAAGAAATGTGTCCAACGCACTGTTTAATCTTTGAAGGACAACGAAATGTCAAGAACAACGGAACCGGCACGTGTAGTGCGAGTGAGACGCAAGACGTATCGCACGGCGGCTTTCACTTGCAAGAAAGAGTCGGAAGATCATCGCGGCGCAGGAGTAGGGATGTGTAAGGAGGTGACATTGAAGGCAAAAAATCGATTAAGATTTTTCACGTGTTCAATAATAAATCGTTGAAGGATTTTTTTTCTACAAATAATCAATTTAGGTGCCATTAATTCATTTCCAATCATTAATGGAGACGACATGTGGTTGGGGTTAAGTTTTCATTTCATGATTGACTAATGAAGGTCGAGGTGCCGTAATTACAATCCAGTTGGTCAGTACAGTAGTCTTGCCGATTGTCTATCAATAGCCTATCGAAAGGCCACCCAATCACTCATACTATCGTTAATAAAATATCATATTTTCTAAGAAAAATAACAGCGTTTATCGCAAATTTAGCTAAAACATTTCCAAAAGCATGGCAGATTACGGTTTTCTTAATTTACCAAATAAAACTGTGTTGTTTTTTTTTTCAATGTCTTCTATCAATGCAATGGTATCGTTAAACTAATTTAGACCCATCGATAGTATGAGCGATTTCAGGTAGGTAGGATCTATCAATTAATCGATAATTGATTTTAAGACATTCCTATTGATTACTCAGATGGTTTTCAAACAATTTGATATTTTAATCGATTTTTTGTAATATCAATATCGATTACCGATTTTATGGAAAAAATAATGACCCCGCACTAGTTGCACCGCGCCATGCGGCCATGTTTATTTGTTTACATTATTTTGTCAGTAAATAATTTGCGTTCGTTGCGATGTTTTGTTGTTGACGTTCTGGATAATTAGATATTCAAATAGCTAAGTAATACAGTGAAATTATGGTGATGTGTGTTGAGTGGTGTTGGTGCAATAGGACTTTGTGTCTTCTTTAGTGTGATGAACGATTTATTTCCGGGAGACCTTCCGTTCCACGATGCCTTGTAAATGTTTTCGCGGGTGGGTGAATCGACACCACCATACCACCGAAGGGAGACCCGGAGATCCCGTTCTTGAAAATAGGATTTCACTACAAGAACCTACCCGGTCACTTGAAAGCGTGGGAAGGTGAATTAAGTGAGTGGATGGATGTGATAGATGTGTTGCGATTCGTTTTGTGAATTAGAGTGAAGTGTTACCCCCTGAATACCTTGGATTGCTTGCAGAGTCAATAAAAAGAGGTAAGTGAAGAATTGGTTCAAAAGTAATAATAAAAGTGGGCGGTGCCGACTCGCGTCAAAATTTGTGAATGAAATACCGTTTGACCACGTTTGACCTAGGAGGGAGTTGCGCGATCGTAGGGCTGTCCAAAAATTTAAATAATAATAATTTATTTAGTTTTGTATGGGAAAATATTTTTTATTAAATATTACGATATCCACTTTCTGACACCACTATAGTATTTATATGAGTATGTTAACATGGGCTAGTCTCGGCTCATATACCCATTTACCTAACACCCTGTATATACAGATATGGAGTTTAATGGAACGACGAAATAGGAACGAAATCTATTGTGCATTGCATTGGTCACAATCAGTTCATTAACATACCCCATTGAATATTTTCGAGTAAACAATTTTATTAGATCTTTACATAAAATAAATCCTGAAAAATCGCATCGCTATCGCATTATTTATGTCAGCAGGTGGCAAAAAATAGAAGTGGGCAAATTAAACGTTGTAACGAGCCGACGTGGCACTTCTCAATTGCGCCGTTTGCGTCCCCCTCACTTCACACCTGGATCTGAAGTAACACCCTGTAACTGAGGCATTTGTGATCGTTGTTATTGTTGCAAATGATTTTTATATTGCTGAAATTTTTTAAAAGCACATGAACTTTATGAATCATCTTCATAATCAACATATTGCCGATTAAACAAAATTTTGTGAGTAGATAGAATTAGTGTAAAAAATGTAGAGATACTAAAGTTTTGATGATAGATTAGATAGATAGATACTAGAGAGGAAACACTTTCATGTTGACTTCAATCACAATTGTAAATAAAAAAAGAATTTTTTAAATTAAAAGGAACAATAATATTACATAATAAGTATTCACCACCAGAGAATAATATTATGTAGCAATTATTTTGTTCAAGTGTAATATAGTTTTATCGGGAATAAAAACTATGAATTCTTTTCGGTCAATATCTTTAGTAACTTTCTTCAAAATGATATACTTAATAACTATTTTTACTATACTATTTTCTACGTAGGTATATCCTCTTGAATCACAAATTTCAAAATCAAAAACAGTGGAAAATTTTGAACACTCAGAGGTCTTACCATCGCCAGGGACAACCATTGTACTGTTAAGACAATACGATAACAATAACATTAAATTGTATTCACTAAGAATATTTCTATGGAACAGATATATTTTATTGGCACAACACCTTTGTTGGGAAAAGCTAAAGAACGAAAAGCCACGGCATTTTCCTTAACAATACACTTTATGAAGCCACGCAATACAAAAACTGAGCAAACGCGGCAGAAATCAACGACATACGTATGTACGGGGTTTCGTAGAATAAAGTATAGATTCAGTCTATTCAAAGACAAAAGTTAAATTATATTTAACCAAAATATGGGTAGGTACTAACCAAGTCAAACCGTTTTGGTTTTCAAAACAAAAGACCAATTTTTAAAGCAAAAAGCGGCTTAAGCGTCATTAAGAGTTCTTCTTCGCACTTCGAAATAAACATTTAGAATTTGGGAAAACATGGACGTTTGCGACAATCTACCTAATGAAAGGGTATAAAAACTCATCATGATCCATTTATCTATCACCATGATGTAATCGCCTTCTGTTCTATTCCTCTTTGAGCAAGATATTTCAAAACGTGATTGCCAACAGCTAACTCATAAAAAGATTTTAAACTTTGTGCATAAAAAATAGCTGTAAATCTTGCCTTGAGTCCCTTTACAACCCTAAAAATGAACTTTATACGAATAAACCTGAATAAACCCAAAAGAAGGCAGGTGCAAATAAATTGAAATGAAAATATAGCGAGCTTTATTTAACAAATGGGAAATAATGCCTTCATTCCCGGACTAATCGTGTGCTGGAAATAAATAGCTATATTTTGTGAAATAAATAAACATAACTGTACTTTTTACATTAAGAAAAGTTCGAGCGCTCTTTATAATTCGTGCTTACGTTCTTTAGGAGTCAACTAGATCCTGTTTTAAAAACTCGTTACCATTTCGTATTTGCCTATATTCGTAATTATAGTACCTAGTTATATGGTTCCTATTCCACAATAGATGTCAATGATATGAAAGTCAATAACCTTCAAGCTTTATAATGGGGGTCATGGATGTGTGGGCATCAACATACTTAAAAGGATTGAGTTGCTTTATCTGGTTTACCAAGTACCTACTTGCAAATTCAACTGCTGCAAATTTTTATATCGATCTGTCGACATAGTAAAAATCAATGATATTTTAAGAAGAAAACTTTGAAAACTTTAGAGTCGACCCCTAGAAATTGCTCGGTTGTCATGCCTGAACATAAATTAACTGTTGAAATTTCGGTTGCGTCGGATATCGTTAATTCGGTAACGGTAATTCAGTAACAGTATCGGCAGTTCGACGACTGATTCATTTTCAAAATTACAAGGGTATTACGTTACAAACAAAGTTAATACTCAGTTAAATTTTATTGAAGCTTATATTATACATATTGTACATACAGTTATGAATGTTAAATTAATTATCGAGTGAATTAATCTAATATATTCTATCATCTTAATACCCACACGGTGAGTCCCTCAGTCACTGTGAAGATCTAATAGCTCAGCAATCAAATAATTATTAGTTCTTTAATTTTGTAGTTTTTGTTCTTAGACTGAGATCAATCGAGCATCATTTGGTTTCTTTTGATATTTTAAAGACCGTTTCGGGGTACATATTGAAACAAAATTCAGAGCTTTTTTGTATCGTGCTTCTCAAGCCTAATAAACCCTCAATGAGCGATGCTGTTGCGACGCTATGATACGTCACTTACTGATATATAGGCCCCTAGAATGATCTGACAAAGCCAGTGGTTCGAACGCGCTCGTCGCTGATTCAGGACACTGCTTTACTCACAATTATAGGTATGCTAGAAGCAAGGAAACACCAAAAAAGGGCCAAAACAGTAGTTATATTGCAGCTCAAAACATTAACACGAGAGTGTACCAAAGCCAACTTCAAAAATCCAAAAAACAATATTAAAAAAAGTAAAAAACCATAAACAATTATCAAAAAGGATTGCTGGCCAAACTGCCAGCAACAAACGCATTTAAGTCTGATCGCCATTGCTGCACGCCGGCTGATCGCGTGTGATCGCGTTGGTTTTACTGAACCTTTATTTAGCTTCTAATAAAGCACAGGTTCCTCGATAGCTGATACTTCACTCTCGGGCCGCTGGGAGAGTTTTGTGACGTCACATTTCAAAGTCTAATACATGTAAGAGTTAAATGTTTTTGGCGAGTTTATGCATGACTCCTAACCCTTGGAGCGCCTTTGATTTGCCGCCAAGTGCCGCGCTTTGCGGCAAATTTAAAGGCGCCCTTATCCAGCTTCTAATAAGGCACAGGTTCCTCCGTGGGCTTTGCTTCGCTCTCGGGCCGCTGGCAGGTGAGCGCGCCGCAGCGGTTGGGACAGCACTTCAGAGCGCGCGGGCAGTCCGAATCTCCCGTGCAAGAGTGGGAGCACACCCATACCCCTCGCGGGTACTCGGGGCAGCTGCCTTTCTTCACTGGAAGCCAGAAAGTATTCTAGATTAGAACTTGAGAATCCTTTCTACATACATGCACATTGCACACATAATTTTATGCTGTATTATGTAATTGTACTTATGTGAAATTGTGAATGTACCCACTGCAAACTCGTTAGCTTTACATCACACCCTAGTGGTTTTTAAAGCTATCTAAATGTAATTGTCTCAATGTAACTGTCTTTAAGTTGTTAAATAAATTTAAAAAAAAACTTATAAGCCAGACAGTAGGTACAGAATCCAAATCTCACTAAGTGATTCATTCATATTCATTTTAGTTAGGTAATTAAGCTTGTTTAATTATAACCTGTGATTGGTTCCTGCCAGCTCATCCTACTTAGACAAAGTAACATTTATGACTGTTTTAATTCTCTCCATTTTTAACGTACCTACCTATACTAGTTCGCTGCGTAAAACGATTTTGAAATTGAATCTGTCGTTTTACTTTATTTAGGGAGCTGGATTAAGTCCAATATTTTCCCCTTAGTATTTATCTCCGTACGTGATTGCGTGCGTTGAATGCAGAGCGCCAAATCCAGGAACAAGTATTCCAAAAAAGTTGGCATTCAACTCGAACACAAACTATACGTTTGAATTTAAAATATTAATGCCAATGGTGTACGTTAAGTAAGCCATCTTCGGGCGCACCAACGCCACCAAGACAGGAGTCGGAGTTAGTCGCCATGGCCAAAATCGATAGGTCGGATGAATCATCATCATCTCTGAATACTGACCCAAAGTAAGGAAGTGCCTCTGCGTGACCGGGTCAACGCACATGGCGCCTCCGCAAGCAGTGGGGCAGCACAGCTGGGTGGTGTTGACGCAAGGAGTCGCCGGGCCGCACGCCGCATTGCATATGTCCACTGGCAACGTCGGGGGACACGATCCAGGGGACCCGGAGCCGGCAGCACATTGGTACAGAGGCACCAATGCTGCCAGGACTGAAAATGGTAAGGAAACTTCATTGTAAAGGCTGAAGCTAGAACTCTTCTCGTTCCCATTGCAACTTCTGAGTAGCCTCATGCATTCCTGTATATTAAACCCAACCGAAGAAGGTTGTTAGTCTCTAGTATAGCGAGCGATAGTCTTAGAGCCCACTACGAGTTTAAATAAAATATACCTAAGAGGAGACTACTGGAGACAAGGCTCTCAAGTTTCCCCGTAGCAATGCGAGATAGGTAACAAAACACGGAAAATTGCTTTCTTAGAAAACCTTTGATTATACTCGTACTTACTCTACGGACAAATTTATGTTTGTTTCAGCCAAATGACGACCACTGCCGGACAAAGACCTCCCCCAAGGATTTCCATAACATCAAACTCATGTAAGTAACAATAATTCATGACTACTACTATTTACATATAACTACTTCTTATAAACTGTCAAGTCACAGTATCTCTGTCATCCGTATGATAACAGATAAGAACCGTCGTCACGCCTTGGAAATGGTCTCCAATATGAGTACATTTTTCATCGTGCTTTTATTAAGTAAATGGTTAGTCCATTTACCTACTTTAAAAATTATATGATAATATGACAAATTAATCGACAGTTCGCAGCACATATTTACACCACCAGACTATCAGGTTGACTGAACCTTTGACATAGCGATTACGTACTTACTTAACACTTAAACACAACACAAACACAACAAAGCACAAATCAGGAAGTAATTTCTTCAACGTCCCATTTGTTAGGAGGACTCACCAATTACCGGGACACAGAGGCGCAGCATTTCCACAATTAAGCGTGCGCCAGTCTGCTTCGGCTTATAATTCCCGTTTACAACAATAATTACTTGGAATTTATCGCGTCACAAATAACAAGCGACACACGGGTACGGCGAGCGACAAACAATTCTCGAGAACTTATTATCACTGCATTAGTAACTCAGCCCAGCTTTTACGAAAGTGAGCTTTAAACAGAAATGTAATCACTTTGGTTTGATTAATAAAAGGGTACGACATTTTGTTGGTACGACTTTGAGACCTCAACGTGATAAATCAGCTTCTTCTTATCGCTGTTGTGCAAGAAAATCTGTTTGTTTCTCATGCTCCTGCTTACTCTACCAGACATTAATTTATCATTTTAATTCCATGTTGCTTATGTTAATCTGTTAACTTACGAGTAACTTGGATCTTTTCTGAAATAAGTCAAGTTACACTGCTTCATGAATTTGATAGCAGTGTGTAGTCTTCGATCTCAGTCATAGATAAATAAAACGTAATAACTTTAATGATACTTATAATCTGTTCACAATTTACGAATATTAGAAACATAAGGAAAACCGCCATAATCTTTGCTCAAAAATAGCGTCATCAAATAAGGAAAAGTCTACAAAATTTGAATAGATTTCTGTATAATTCAAGTCGAATTAAGCGTTATTGTGTTGACCATCGATTCTATTTTATGTTTGACACTTGAAAAATAATCATTAAAGAAGTTATTGTAACAGATGATTACAAGGTTATCAAACATAACATAATTTCCTACATGTGTGCAGCAATTCTGAGAATGTTTCTTGATGTTAAATAAATTAATTAAATTATACTTACTTAAGTTTTTTGTTCAATCTATCATCCTTCTTAGTTTTTATTAACTTACTTGCGTTTACAGCGTGCACTCACAGTGATGATATTTCGATTTTTTGTCTCAACATGCCATGAATGTACGGGCTTATAAAGTACTAAAGTTAGTTTTATGATATTTTTATAGATCTCTCGACATCAAAATAGGTTCAGCAGCTTGGAAAAAGTGTAGAGCATACAATACCATTGATAAGTGCTTCTGTACCTACCCTAGAAACGACACAGACTCAGCTTGTCGCATTAAATACAAAAATAATTTTCAGATATCTAACCCAAATTCCAAATCACGCATTATTCGGGCCCTATTAGCCATCAATCCGTGATCCGACCCATTTTCTATCTTGAGCCTCGTGCAACTATAATGAGTTAATCATAACCCGTATTAATGGCGTCCTTCTGGTAATGCTCACCCGCCGTGAATTGAGCCCTGAGGGACCCTCGGTAGTGTAGCCATTACGCTGAGGTGTCTAGAGGACAGGTGCCTGCAACGGGACTATTCCCACCTCTTGTGTAGCCAGGATCTACAGCTTGACCGCCAATAAAATCCCAACCAGTGAAGGTCAAGTTTGTCCCGGGGAAAGTTAAACTGTCATTAGACCCGCAACGATATTAATCAGAAGAACATAGGAGGATAGTGTTTGCAGTGTAGGTAAGATAGGCTAGCTAGACAGTGCCTACCTGCCTTTTTGTATGGATGGACAAAACCACAGATCAATATTAGGGACTATTGCCTCTCTAAATGCTAAACAAGACATCTTCACGATTAGCTCTTTTTTTTGCCGGCAGGGGTCATTATTTAACATTTTAAATTTAGTAGAGACTTACTAAGTAAGAATAGCGTTCTTTAGGTAGAGTCAACCGAAGTATTAAGAATGATGAATCGGTGTTAAGAATGACAGTAGTCCTATCAGATACTTGAGTATACTTACATAAAAAGGTGCTCGTTTTAACTTTATGTTGAACCTGTGTATAAGTTTCACTCTTTGCTATCGATTATACCAGATAGGGGAGAGTTCGGTATATTGTACCGCCGGGTAAATTGTACCACCCTCATAGTTCGTAAAGTATTTATTGAATGTCTGTAATTGCAACACTCAGCGATACACAACTAAAATCAATTAATATCGGCCATGTGGTTTTTGCCGTGACAATTAACACGTGTGTTTTATTTTGAAAAGTATTTTTTCATTGTTTTCAAGTAACTTTTGACAATACATGTTTAGTTTGTAATTTTGTTAAATTTAATCACAGGGTGTTTCTAATATATTATTTAGAAGCGTAAATTAGTGTGGATTACAATTATTTGAAACATTTTTCGGTATTTATAAGCTATATTTTTTACCGATTTTTTTAAAGCACTATCACCTAGTTGGCTAAATTGTACCACATCAAGTTGTATGGAACTTTACCAAAGGATTTTGAAATTTTTTTTAGTAAATCACATTTTGTAATTATAATAGCGTAGTTATGTTTGACTAACAATAAATGAAAGCAAAAGACTGGCAAAGTAGATTAGGTACAAGTGTGCGTTACGATAATTGGAATTACAAAACTTGTACTCAAAATCGTGATAACGTGTAAAACAATATCGATTGTCTATGTTATTAACTACTGTTCCTTTTCGTTTCCTAATTTGTTAAGAATGTATCGTATAATATTTTGCCATAGTTTTTTTATAAGCTTGAAATTTATTGAAATCCAATTTAATAACCCTGTGGTACAAATTATCGAACCGATTGGCTAAATTGGACCGAAGCTCTGAACTCGTACTTTGTTGATTTGTGCTAAATATACAACAATCATGTTAATTAATACTTATGAAATAGTAAGTTGAATAATGTATCTTTTATTATTACCATGGACATTAGCAAAAACAAAAGTAAACTATGTGTAAAATAGGATTGAAAAAAACTGGTCCAAATTAGCGGACTCTCCCTTACCTACAGGTAGAAATAATCATGAATTCTACCCAAAATGGTTCCTCATGAAACCAGACACCGCTTAATCAACTTGAGAGCTCATTAGACTCCAAATAACCCGGTTTCCAGCCAATCTCAATACTCCTTGAACACTTGGCTACTCTATCCACGACCTTTCATTACGTTCGGTCGATCGGCATAACACAAATGGAGATTAAAATTGTACATCTGGTGGCACGAGACATCTGTTCGATGCCTAATCCACCGGGGCTTTTACATTTCTTTGGCAACGCGAAAATAATATAGCTACTTACATAACTTTCGGATAATTATTATCTTCAATAAGCCGTGCCGGTCGCTGTTTGCTTAGGTTTCGTTTTCAATTGTTATGAGTCAAGTCATTGTAGAATTTTGGTATAATTATGGTAAAATGTAGGTAATTATAAAATAAACTAACTTAGCTATACTTCCTTGGTAGGTATATCTGAAGCTTCTGAGTATGAAGACAAAACGGGGTATACAACAAAGTGGTAAGATGCTGTCGCTCGTCACAATCCGATGTCCTGAGTTCAAATCCCTGTACAAACTAATATGCCAGAGATAGATAGATAGATTTTGGCTACAGCTCTCATAGCGGATATGACTCAAGACTCGTGAAATGGCTTGAAACTAAATTAACAAGAATTCATACTTTCATAACTTTATTCCAAAAATTAAAAATATTGACAAGAGTTCAACATTACATAAATATTACCGGTTACATACATATTTACATTACATTTCATTCATTTGTGACATTATCACGGGTCCCTGTAATTAACTAAAACAATAGCTCATACAAACGCTACGAATCCAAAATATTTGACTAAACAAAGTTCCTTAACTAAATGCGTTCATTATGTAGTAAAGCTTGCCCTAGCATTTTAAGATATTTAAACCATGTATTCACCTGGAAGCATTGTTTTACATGGGTCGGTATCTGTTTGACCTCAATCCGAGAGATAGTGAAGACAAGATGGATTTTACCTACAATAATATATGTAATACGTTACATAGTGATACAATCTCTATAATAGGTATTTGATTGCTGAATGCCTGACTAACAAGCGAAACTAATTGAACGAAACGAAGTTACACATGCTTCCTGACTTCACTTGTCAACGTCGAAAATTATGAAGACGTTCTTAAAGATAATAAAATAATAGCTAATGATTTTGTACGGCCCGTATACTGCCAGGTGAATGCATGGCTTCAACTTATACTAATTAATAGTTTGATCACACACGATGCATTGTAGTTGACAAAAAAGTTTATTTTTTTACCTACATCTAGTTCTACCAAACTAATTCAATAGTCATGTTATTTATTTGTGTAGAGTGATTTTTAAATTTTTAATCACGATGTGAATTAGTAATAATCTCTTTAACATCACTTTTAATATCATATTATGTACCTTATTTATTTAACGTGTAATTGAAATAACGCAAAATATATGTATTAATATTAATTATGTGTATAACTAGTAGTGCTTAGTGTAATACTTTAGTCTTCTTTGTGATGTGTTCTATGTTCTGTCTTCTCTTCTTTTCTATTATGTAGAATGAATTCAAAATTTTATTTTGACTTCTATGACCTTTAATTCATATCTCTACAACTCATTCTTTTACTTTAAAGTTTTGCGTTAAATAAATTACACGATTAACATCATTTCATTTCTACCTACACATCATTCTCTCAATTGTTAATAAACTGGGTATCCTTCACATCTGAGCTGGACAAGTATTCATCCAGCCATTTCTCAATGACCGGCACATTCTCCGCCGACCACTTGGCTTCTTCCCTGATGTTCTTCATGGACCTTTCGATGATGCGTTCAGCTGAACCAAACTCTCCCTGGTGGGATACGTACAAGTTGCTGACCATGTCTAAACCGGCCTGGGTAGTGAATTGGGAGGTGGCTGAGGTGATCAGGTTGTCCCAGAGGTTGGTCCTGCTGGATAATCTGTTTGGAGATAAATGTTTGTAATTGTAATACGAACGCATTTTTTACGTGGTTAGAAGTTATTTTAGGTAGCCTGGTATTCCAACAATTTGTATACAGAACCGCTTATCCAGAATAATACGTCGACCATTATGCACGGGGCACAAACGTAACAAACAGTAAGTATAACTAACATACACTGACATAAAATATTTATAACAGACAATGATACAAAATCATGATCTTCAGCCATTGCAGTTCACTGCTGGACATAAACATACCCCAAAACCCGCTTCTTTACCCTCTATTCGGCTTATCTCATCCAATTTCTCCCAGGGACTTTTCCACCAGTCGTCACTCCACCTAGCTGAAGGAAAAATCATAGGACAGTCCACAACAATACTTACTTCTCCTTCAGCACATCCCAGTTGTTGCTTAAGAAGTGGAACAGCGTGGTGTATCCCCTGGACCCACCAGTCAGCATACTGAAGATCAGGAACACATCAGTCTCCGTGAAGTTCCCGTTGCCCTCCAGCAAGGTGATGTTCAGAAGCCTGATGATCTTCGTCTCATCATCAGGACAGCCCGCAAGAGTCTTTAAGAGGTAAGTCCTCTCACTCTGCTTGCGGGATGGAGGGAAGTTGATCACCCTCTGGAGACCAAATTCCCACTCTTTCTTGGTGCCCCATTTGAAGACTGGGCAGATGAACTGGTTTGAGATTCTGGAAATTAGGAGAGAGGGAGCTTAGTTTTAGACATTTCGTCCATTACAAGCCTTTGGTTCCAGTAAATAAGCACTGCTGTTATAGCAGTTGTTAAAAAATAAATAAAATTTTTCAGTAGCAGAAAAATCCTCATAACCGGATGTCGTAAAGTCTGTGATTTAAATGGACCCGACATACCCGACGACAAATAAATCCCCAAAAAATAAGTCAACAGAGAAAATCGCTGATACAAATCATAAAGGGGCATCACAGAAAATGGCACAGTCGTAGATCCGCAGGGTATTTTTCGGTTATTATGTCCGTTGAATCCACAAAGGCACATTGGGGTTAATTGAATTAGGTTTTTGTCTGGAGTTGCTACAATGTGCATGCGGCGGGAATGCGGCAAGGATTCGGGCACCTGAGCCCGAATGGCTCTGCTTAATTGAACGATGCAGCGAAAAGCGCCGTATAGATATTGCTTTGCACGAAACAGTAACTAGACAATTAACATGGTTTTGGTGAGTCAGTCTTCAACTTAGAAAAATTGTACTATCTAGACTAGAGTCTAGATAGGTAGTACAATTCCGCAATGTGAATAACAGGTACGCCAGAGTAACAAATCCAAAATTAAAATATGACTTTTTAAGTACATACATTAATTTTCACATACGTTTTAATACATCGCCTCACCAAAAAAAATATCTACAGCACTATATATAGTTTATTTATAAATCCTATTGCGTTTGCAGAGCCATTTCCTATTCATTTTCCTTTGCTTCGCAAACGCATCTCCTTTGACGCGCCGTTAGTGCAGCAGCTCTATAGCATTTTTTACTCGGACGAATAAACAGTAAATAGGCCACTATACGGGGTTGTTTGGGTTTGAAGTACACATGTGGTAGATTTTTCAGTCTGTTTTTTTATGGTAAGAGAAATGATACGATGGGACAATAGGAAAAGATTAAAATGATCCAATAATTTAAAAAGAAACAAAGTTGCTTGTACGTAACAGAATCTTGGGATATTCCCACAACTGCATAAAATGTAACCAAAAGATTTTACTTATTAATGATTAATGAATAATAATGATTTTACTACGATGTTAAGACCAAGTTCGTCAGTCTGTATAACTATGCACAATGAAAACCTGTAGTTTTGATTGATTTTGATACTATTCTTCCAAGTTCATAAGTTTTTTAATATCTTCGGCACTTTTGCGATTTTGGTTAAAGTACCTAATAATGTGCTCACAGTTTTTATTGAACTTCGAAAGTTCTGAGCTCAAAGGGCGTTTAGTTGCAGTCTGCTACTGGATACAGTCTGCTACCAAACGTGAAAGTAGAGAGATCCAAAAATACGTAGCCTACAAGTTCATAAGTTATCTAGTCGCAATTCTGTATAATTTCTAGGTATTTTACTCACGGGTTCCCTTCATCAGGGTTCTTAGCCTGCATCCACTTGCTGTACTGCTCTTGAGCTTCCCTGATGCAAGGCTTGTAGCCCGCTTGACAGAGGAACGTCTTGGTCATCGAGCGGAGGTTCTTGCGCCAATTCTCTTCATCCTCTCGCTCATCCTTGATCAGCTCTTCGTAGAGAGGGCTTAGGAGGATTCTTACGTAGGCCTATATATGTAAGAAACTTCAGTAATGAGTTGAGAAACTTCAGTAGAGTAATGTCAAAGCGTTATTCTCCAAAGGTAGGCTCATGGGTTACTTGGTAGGTTTTAGATTTTATCATCATCATCATCATCATCTCAGCCATAGGACGTCCACTGTTGAACATAATACTCAACATCAAATAAACCGCACCTTCCGTGACGCGAACTTTAACGATTTTCTTCTGACACAATCATGGTGCCCCAGCAATGTTGGTATTATTTGAAAACCCAATAAATATCCTTAAAGAAAAACACATTTAATTTCTTAATAAATGATTAACATATACCATAAATGTGACTTGAAAAAATACCTCACTTTGGGCCCACCTATGGGATCAATTAGACCAATTTTTATGGTTATAAAACCAAATAATGATCTCACGTGTCCTCTTTAACAGATGGATAACGATTAATCTCAACTTAACAGTTTTATAACCATAAAAGTTGGCTCTAGCGTAACTACCTATTTTTTTAAGAAGTGACTCTGCTGGATCCTTCTAAAGACACATTTTTGGGGTAGAAACCTTTCCTTTATTGAAATGAAGGTTAGAACTAGGCTTTTAAATGGTGCCAATATTGGTGGGAAGTGGGGATTCGTACGTTTTAAAATGCTTGTCGCGGGAGGTGCGATTTATTTGATGTCGAGTGTATTATTATGCCTCCCCCAATACTTTCCATGTTGCCCGGTTGGTAGCAGCCTGCGTCCAGCGCCTTCCTGCTACCTTTATGAGATATATTTAGATTTTATGCTAGGTAAAAATAGTGTAAAAAGAGCTAGATATAACTAGACTAGAGAAGGGTGTTTCCCTAAAGGGAGCGAGGTATCTTGAAGTTACTCCCAATGCTTCTCTTTTACTCTGTAATGTGATCGAAAAATCACTCAAAAATAAATCTTCTTACCTGGAACTTGCTATGGATACATTCACAGATGTGTCTTCCAATGTGATCGATCATTGTAAACACTGGGTCCCATACCAGATGGTTCCTTTCATTCTTCAAGAACAGGGTCATATTGAAGGCAGTAGCGAAGGACAGTTCTCCGGCATACGCCAGGTTCCACGCATCGTGTAGGATCTTCGCCCTGGTTAGCTCAGGGATCAGGTGGCGCTTCTCGCCTTGCAGGAATTGGGAGAGGAGGTTCCAGTTTTCGTGGTCGTAGTTTACAGGATATGGAGCTAAAAAGTGTTACTTAAATTATAATGTAACTGATCTCGAAACTGGTAAATTAACTAGACAAACCTCTTATCTGTTAAAACTAAAACAGCTCTATAGCACTGTTCCATAAAGAAATATTGTCTCTTTTGTGTTTTCACCACACGAAGAGAATTGACAGAATTTGGGCTAAAAGTTTGCTGCTATTTACACTCTAAAGAGCTAATAAAAATGCAAAACAAGACAATGCTCTATCAAACAAATCCTACATTTCAGATGACTTGAGAAGCTAACATGAAAGTAACAAACCTAGAACCAGGTCGAGTTAACTGCGCACCTCGCTAGAAACAGTAGCGGCGTAAGGGGGGGGGCGGTGGGGGCGGTCCGCCCCGGGTGCCAAGCATCAGGGGGTGACAAAGTCACGCAGATTAGTACTCATTGACGCATCTGCATGGCAAGGACGGTCGTGATGTCATGACAGGGGGGGTGCCATTCTTGGGTGCCTTAGGCTTTAATTTATATTNAGTAGCGGCGTAAGGGGGGGGGCGGTGGGGGCGGTCCGCCCCGGGTGCCAAGCATCAGGGGGTGACAAAGTCACGCAGATTAGTACTCATTGACGCATCTGCATGGCAAGGACGGTCGTGATGTCATGACAGGGGGGGTGCCATTCTTGGGTGCCTTAGGCTTTAATTTATATTATGATGGGGGGGGGGGTGCCGCCCCGGGTGCCAACCTATGCTACGCCGCCACTGGCTAGAAAGCGACTCTTCCTCGCACTCACCCGCACGTCTCCCCGCGTTCGTACCAGAGCGTCGATGTGACGTAACGGCCGCCAGGTACGCAGTTAACTCAACCGGCTTGTTACATTTAAGGAAGTAATATCACAGAATAATAACAAGTACTACGTACAGAAGTTTTACTTAGCGAAGGTATTTAAAAAAATGTATGCTCAATGTCATTAACAATATGGTGTGATTTAGCCTGTCTCAAGAGTCAAGCACCATTTTGTTGACAAACGTCAGTGATCGGCACTGCGCCGAAGCTATAGGGCTGACTTTGGTAAAATGATGTGACGTGAGATGCCAAACTGCGGAAAATGGCGGAGGAAATACATGATTTACCATGAATTATCATGAATAATATTAACTACTTATTTACCTCTCAGTGTCTTGAGGCAACTTAAAAAAGTACATTCTGTTTTTATTATTATTTAGGCAGTTAAACACTGCACAGTATTTAGTACACCATTTTCTTTATTTTCTTCCATCATACACAAGAATACGCGTGCGTGAGTCAATGTTCGTTCGTATGTGAGACCTTGTCGAATAGTATCCTGTAGGTGGGCCATCGTGCGTGTTTTGTTTTCGATGTAAACTCGCGGAGATGAACAGGCCTGGTAATATACACTACAAGTTTTTGAATATTAGCAAAAAAACAATTACCAATCTCCTCTGGATTGATGATGATGAACTGGTCCTTATCAGGCATGTCGTTCAAGGTCAGCTCCTTTCTGTCCCGCATCCAGACAGCGGGGGTAGCATTGCTGAAGTCTAGTTTGTCCCCGCGAGCGACGACGATCGGCGCCCACCATGACATGCGACTTGCGTCGGGCACGTCGTGGGGACGTTCGCGGAGGTATACTTTCTAGAGTTGAAGACGAAAGACGACGGAAGATAAGTAAAAGACTTTGACGTAAATAAATATAGTATTGAAAAAATAACCCTACCCAACCCGAAAAGGGTCATTCTAGTGCTCAAATAAAAAAACTTGGGACTAACCTTTTTTTTATGTGACAGGAGGCAATCGAGCAGACGGATCACCTGATGGTAAGTGATTACCGTCGCCCATAGACACATCGACAACTTATAAACTTCTGAAAAATTATAACGCGGTCTCTACTTGGGTTCGATAACCGCACAATACAAACATTGTATACAAGATAATCCCCTTGTAACTATGTGTATTTTGGGTGCTTTCTATGTGTGTAATTTATTATGTAGACATGTAAATAGGTACCTACTCAGATAAGTTTCGTAACTGTTACACATTAATGTACTTATTTTAGCTACTTAGGCTGAGTTGCACCACCTAACTTTGACCGTAACTTTAACGGTAACCGGTGTTTTTTATATGGACTTTGACAGATTTTTGACGTTTGTCAAAGTTAAAGTAAGATGGCGCAACCCAGCCTTAGACTACTGCACAATTTTCTAAATCTACTTGTATTGACTAGTATAAAAATAGTAATCAATGCGATATCTTTATGAGCCATTACCTGTGTCAAAGTAACCGCCTTGCTGTCGTACTTTCTCTCCGCATTAATAACCGGCAGCCGATCCTTCTCTATCCAGCTGTTGGCGATCGTCTTAATGTTGGAGTCCTTAGGAATCCTGCCGTCGGCGACGGCCGCGGCATTCAGCGCGTTCCAGATGTCGTCCCCGGAGAATGTTTTGAATTTCCTAAAATAATTCCAGTAACGTGGAATATGGGCAAGGCATGCCTGAACGAAAATAGCTTTCATAGGAATTAGCGTGGGAAATGGGAAAGACTGTTAATTGATTAATACGGATGATTGTTTATTACGTTATAGGTAAGGAAGTTATGGTAATTATTTTACAGTGGAAATAAATTGCTGCAATTGCAAATTGCACTTATACAGTGCCAAGATCTGACCCAACTTTTTTATATTCTTCTATTTTTCAAACTTTTATTTAAAATACTGATTACACTGACGATCTGCTATGCCTAAACCCTTTCTATAACTTGTACTACTAAATAAATTTTTGAAATTGAAATCTAACGTAAACCGTCTTGAATATACCTACTAAAATAAAATCTATCAACGTACATTCTAAGTAATTAGATAATTTAGTGCACCTCTTACCTAGACTCAATGAACGTCCTCAATCCCTTCTTGAAGGTCTCCCCTCCAAGGGTGAAGTTGAACATTCGGAAGAGCAGCTCGATCTTGGTGCAAGCAGTCTCTTGCTTCATACCCGTGATACGAGAGTGGGGATAGCGCTTGCTAAACTCGTAGTATAGGGAGTAGAGCACCGTCATGGGCCATTTGCCTTCCATCTCCGAGCCGTTGTTTATCTGAATGAAATTAAATTAAAAAAATACAATCATTTTCTCAACTCTCCGGCTATACCTTGACCTCAATGCAGTATCCTAAGGTTGAACATCCCCCCATCTACTCATATGCATGACACCAAACTCAAGCAAGACAATCTAACGTATCTTCTTCAATAATTTTCGCTAAATACACAAAAATCTTTCAAGCATTATTTATGAAAAAAGGCGAATTTTTCAGTGTCATATTTGAGTCTCATAACGAATACTATAGGACTACCATCCATGTCAAACATCATTACATCAACATAAAGAGTGTAATATCTTGTAGCTAATTTACAAAAGATTGCAATAAAAATGTAGAGACTGACGTTTGTTATATGTCAAATGACTATAATGTACGAGCGGCAGAATTGATAGAAATGATACGAGAGTACACGCCGTGGCGGTTGATTGTGCACTGATTTGATGGCATGAAAAGTGAAACAATTAGGGTGAAAATGCTGATGGCGCGGAATGTACTATACCTCTTGCATCAGTCTCTTTTACTTACCTTAAAAGCAGTCTCAGCAGCGAGGTAGCCCACCAGAGCTTTGTTTAGATGAGCGTCGGACCACCAGGCCGGGGTGGCCAGCGCGCCGAGCCACTGGTACGTCACTTCTTGGGCTAGCGGCAGGTAGCCTTTACCGCTCAGGTCGCTCTCCCTGGGTACATTTGATTGATACTAATTTACCAAGCATAGATACTAATCAAGCAGATTTATTTAACCAACTTCAAAAAAAGAGGAGGGGCTACACGTTTGAGTGGCACCTGTGCTAGCGACAGGTAGCCTTTACTGCTTAAGTCACTCTCCCTGGATAAATTAGATTAATACTAATTTAAGCAGAATAGACACTAAATCGGCAAGACCTGTGCGCTTACCATGAGTTTACGTTAGGTGTGCTCGCTAGCGACTGCGTAAAAAAATGACATTAATTGTATGACATATTGTGCAGCGACCCTAGTGGCTACTTTCAAGAAACAAAATCTTCATAGAGATTTTTGACGTACTCGCTAGCGAACACACCTAACGTAAACTCATGGTAGGTACACTGGAGCGAGATCAAACGCGAAGCTCAAGACCGAACGCGATGGAGGACTGTTGTGGACGCCCTCTGCCCCATCTAGGGGACATAGGACCTTAAGTCAAGTAAGTCAAGACACTAGATCAAACAGATTCATTTAGATTTTAGATTATTTTACCGACTTCAAAAAAGGAGGATGTGCTACACGCTTGAGTGGCACCTGTGCTAGCGCGGTACATTTGATTGATACTAATTTAACAATTGCATAGACACAAGAACAGATTAATTTCGATTATTTAACCGACTTCAAAAAAAGAAGGAGGTACTACATTCCATTGTATGAGTGTTTTAATAGTCTTAAAAAGGTTCTTAATATCTAATAGTAAAACTTACATACTGCAATTTACTCGTAAAGTTTTATTGCAATGCTTTATGAAAGTCAAGAATATGCAAATTTATATTACCAACTGCACACAAAACTATGCTAATGTAAACGATTGTGTATTTCGTTTTAGCTACAAAGAGATTATTTGAAAGCATGTGGCGAGGAAAAATTAAACCAAACAGTTATTAAAACTTTTATATCGTCGTGAAAAACATTCTGCCTTTGTGAAAATTCAGTCGGAGTGGAGGAAAAGAAAAAAGATGTCGACACAAGCGAGAAGCTTCGTTTTAACTACTGAGGATTTTCCTTGACTGTGAATAATTCTTAATATAATAGTAAATTATATCCATGTATGAAAGAAGATTTTATACCCATTTTATCATAGAAAATTGAGTTTCGGAGTTATAAAGATCGAGAATATTATATTGATTATCTTTTAAACTCTTATTCTTGTCTCAGAGTCTCCGAGGAATACTTTAAATATTCATTGTAGTTATCTAGTGTTTTAAAAATACACAAATCAACTAACAAATAAATCAGTCAACAAAGTACGCGGTAACACACACAGTGCCATCTATCGTGTAGATATTTCACAAAACACTGCCCTCTGCCCTCTTTAACTTCGCAGTAATGTTCTGTTGAAATAACAGATGGTGCTGTGCGTACTTACATCGCGATTGCATTTGAATTTTCTCTATCAAGTAATACCTTGGATTTACGTTGCATATTCTAATTTCTGTAAGCTGTTGCTTGACAACATAATTTTTGGAAGAGTTCGCATTTATACATTGAATGGTATAACTGCGAACTTTATTTCGGCAATATCACAAAAGCTTCATATTTTCTGCCTAATCTTAGTTAATTATCTTACACAATATGTTACCAATGGGATAAGCAGTTGAACATTTAACTGGTTTATTTTAGTTTTTCAAGTTAAAATATTTAGTTGATGACGCATAGAACTCTATTTTTAATACATATATGATTGCTATTTTGTGGTTATTTAATCCCACCAAAACATTTTCATGCAAAATGTTACCAAGACGAATCATAATATGGCTCCACACTGTGAAAATGTTATCAGATGTCATGTAGAGAAAATTGATCGAATATTAGGAGTTCGTGTTCAATTGTTGCTGTATTTCCACTTAACTTTATACATATGTCTGGCTTTGTTTTCTATTTCCATTAAATTTACGAACATAAAGGAATAGTTTTATTATCGTTTTGTATTAGCTTCGTGCTATCAGCCTAATATAGGGGTACTGCCAACCTTGTCTATTATCCAGCAAGCGTTAGGGCACACTATCGGCGAGCCTTGAACTCTCCTACATTTTACATAGATAAGTTCTAACTTCACTGATAATAGTGTTGTCCAACTAACGATAGTTTTCTACCGTTAAGTGTCTAGTTCTAAAATTAGAGTTTTGTAAATGTGAGAAAATGGGCTGTTGATGATTGTCGAAAACTTAGATTGGACTATTTTGCACAAATGGGTGTTGAGATTACTCATACTTTAATTTTAATTTATTTTTAAGATTTTTAAGCTACATGTGTCAAACAAGGCTTTATGTTTCTATAATAAAGATAAATAAATAAAATTAAATTGGAAGAGAATTGAATGTTATTTGAAAAAAAATATATAATCGATATTTGACTATCTAACATTACTGAAACGATAAGCCTAGTCTTACGAATTACAAAGGTCGAGACGAGAATTATTAGACGGAAAAAATTGCTAGTTAATGTGATCTGATAGATAGAAAATACAAAAGTGACTTTACGCTGAAGGCAGGAATAAAATTGAAATGTTGAAGTAGTTGTTTTTCTTCTGCTTTCAGTGGGGAAAAATGGCGTTGAATTCATTTTTCTGCGAAGTTAATACTATTGGAGGTTTTTCAAAGAAATTATTGCAGCGTGGGATGTTTATCCACAAGGTGGACCGACAACCTCGTAAATGTAGCAGGAAAACGAAGAAGAATCTAGATGCCGGGCGCTATCAACCGGTCAATATGGAAACTATTGGCCTATGTTCAGCAGTGGACATCCTGTGACTGATTGATGAAGATGTGGTGCATGTATCACGTTTTAATTGGTTTCGCCTATAGATGATAGATAACTTCTATGTGTAGAATACTTACTTGAACACAATCAGTTGTCAGCCGGCTTTACGCCCTTTTAGTTGGGTAAGGCCACTATGTCCACTAGCCCAAGACTGGCAATCTGGTCGAAGACATACCTTCTTTAACGCCTTCTAGAGTTTGCAGGTATTCTCAAGTACTTACTTGAACACAATCAGCCCCCAGTTGTCAGCTGGCTTCACGCCCTGGTAGTTGGGTAAGGCTACTATGGCCAGCTTTCTCAACGGCAATGGGAACCGCCAGAGGCTGGCGATCTCGCCGAAAACCAGAGACACTTTCTCGTTGACATCTTCTAGAGCTTGCTGGTATTCTAGACGATCCCACCACTCCCAACGCTGTTCAAGTACTTACTTGAACACAATCAGTCCCCAGTTGTCAGCTGGCTTCACGCCCTGGTAGTTGGGTAAGGCTACTATGTCCAGCTGTTTCAGTGGCAGTGGGACCCGCCAGAGGCTGGCGAACTCACCGAAAACCAGAGACACTTTCTCGTTGACATCTTCTAGCGCTTGCTGGTACTCCGAACGGCTCTACCATTGGCAACGCTGTTCCAGTACTTACTTGAACACAATCAGTCCCCAGTTGTCAGCTGGCTTCACGCCTTGGTAGTTGGGTAAGGCCACTATGTCCAGCTGTTTCAGTGGCAGTGGGACCCGCCAGAGGCTGGCGAACTCGCCGAAAACCAGAGACACTTTCTCACATCTTCTAGAGCTTGCTGGTATTCTAGACGACCCCACCACTCCCAACGCTGTTCAAGTACTTACTTGAACACAATCAGTCCCCAGTTGTCAGCTGGCTTCACGCCCTGGTAGTTGGGTAAGGCCACTATGTCCAGCTGTTTCAGTGGCAGTGGGACCCGCCAGAGGCTGGCGATCTCGCCGAAGACCAGAGACACCTTCTCGTTAACGCCTTCTAGAGCTTGCAGGTATTCTGGACGACCCCACACGCGGATTTCTAAAAGATAGCAGTTCGTTAAATTTTTGCTCTTTGCTGTTGTATTTTCTATGGTTTAATTCCTTATGTTTAGAGTAATAACTAATAAGCTTTAATACTATATTCATAACCAGCAAGGATGTGTGGTCACCTTGGTGGCCACTTAATTCAGGTTCAGATTTATTGCAAGGTATTTTAGATGATTAAAATGCTACAGAGTAGGTAAGGTACAAGGGAAAGGTAACTGATTTTTTCTTTTTCTGAACTTACTGCTCAAAAGGTTTTGAGGGTTAAACACGACACAAAACATACCTATTTGTTGGTAATTCAGTAATTGTCCTTATCAGTCTCTAATCTTATTTATACCGGTCAAACAACAGCAGGCCCAATAATACTAGGTCGTATCCCAGAAAATTGTAGAAACGTACGACCATCTCGCAAGTGTAAGACGAAGTCTGCCGCGAATGGTCTGAGAAATGAAGGCATTTGTCAAAGCGCCTATTCCCGAGGAATGCTTTTGTTGAACTGCTAAATTAAACTTAATGGACTTTTAGAGATTAATATTTCACTGTTAGTATCATGGACTCCAAATTCCATTCTCTCTAGTACGCTTATACCACGTCATAAAGTTGTTTAATTTAGGAGTTAATTACCTACTTGTCTAGATCAGTAGTTGTATCTGGAAACTTCTACGTACAAACGTGTTCAAACCTTATTTTACCCATATTATGTATTTTACCCTTGACTTACCCAAGTCATTTCCATAATCGTCCTTATAATGGGTGACATTGCCAAGTTGCTTGAGGTCTGCGATGACCAGGCCGAGCGTGAAGGTGGACATAGGAGGCGTTCTCTCAAAGTGATCCCATACCGCATTTGGCTCGCCGGTTCTAGATACAAAAGTATAAATAAAGTACTATCGCTTGCAGACGATCCTTAATTTCGATTTCCTCCTAAGTTGATCTGAAATATTTCGTTGTGGGTCTAATGATAGTAAACAAACTGGGACAAACTTGACCTGGCCCAACCAGAAGACATGCACCGATGGCACGATAATAATATCATAATAGAAGGTATTACTATGCCGATGTGGACGAGATATGAGAACATACCCATTAGCATACTCGTATCATACTCGTACTGTAGAGTTTTGTAGCAAAATTGCACTCATAACGACTCTAAAATACCTTATATTGTTAAGTTTTATAACAGTCGAGGTTTTTGTCTATACCAAAATTTTTGTACATTTCAAAACTAGCTTCTGCCTCATCTGCGCGGATTTCAGTATGTTACCTACGAAAACATTTCAAAATGAGTTTTCCATAATATCGCTTACATGTGAAGTTATGGGTCCCTCATTATAAACTTTCATGCCCTATTTCATGCGAGTCCTGCTAAAATTCATCGACATTTGTTTGGTGGTTTAGGGATGTAAGCTTTACCTATCGACCGTCAAATTTTCATATTTCCTAATATAAATGAAATTATTCAGCCCCACTAATAATAACAGTTTTAACTCCCAAGTCCCACTTAAAAGTAGAGTCATAAATTTTAATTCTTGAATCTGAATAATACACTTTTGTTCACAAAACCTTTCAGTTGACTTTCATAAGACTTAAGTCTCTATTGAATAGCTAGGTCAATTTAATTTAACCAATAAATCACAAGTAACAACTTCACTAAGTACCTGCCGAAGGAACATAATTCCTTGCCCTTTATTTAGCTTATAAATTGAAGTGAAGTATCACTTTTGTTAATTAATGAAAATCAACAAGGACTTTCTGAGGCCCGTAAGACCTCTGATATTTGTTTAGAAAATCTATTTGATTTACGAAAACTGATAGGCACTCGTCTCAAAATGAAAGAGAAGAACCTTAAAACGTCTAAGAAAATTATAGAAAAATGAGATTTTCATTTTTTCTATTCTCTTGTTTTCCACCCCAATTGACATCCTAAAAACATTACCCTTCCACCCTACTACAGTCGGGTAAACAATTATCCAGGGCCTCGTGCCAAGGACTTAAAAATCTTTTCTCGTTCCTCGCCACCAAAAGCATTATTGTCACGCAGACTCCGTAACGTGATTCGACCACTGAGCAAGTTACTTTATAAAATGTAAAAAAAAAACTTTTAGTGAAAAACAACCGCCTAGGCCGAGAATTCTCGGGAGACTTCAAGTAATTACGTTACAGAAAAGAGGGCGAGGAGATTCCGTGCTTACAAATAGGCGTTGTGGGCTGTTTGTCGAATAGCCCAAGGAATGTTTGATAGCACATCTCTTGTCATAAAATAGTTTTAAATATTTTGTTGATAGTGAATCAAAAAGTCTCCCAAAAATAAGTGACAACGTTTTTATGTAATTTGTTTTGCCACTTCGTCAGTAGAGCCATCTTACCACCATACTCGGATTGATAAAGGGTCATAGAAGCCTTCAAACATAGTCCGAGTAGAGTCCAGCTTAAGGTACAAGCCAACCTTGATGTCAGATATTAACAAGCCATCCAATGTTCTGGGTAAAAGGAGCTGTTCCCACCTCTGCAACTCCTGTGTAGCTAGCCAGAATCTAGTGCTTGATTGCCAATAAAAACCCAAGCACTGATGACCAAGTTTGACCCATCCAAGGGAAAGCTGAACTATCATTGGGCTTGCAACGAAATTAAGGGAATTAAATGCTTAGGGATAATAAAGGTAGCAGGAAGGCGCTGAATGCAGGACGTTGCCAATCGGTCATGGAAATCATTGGGGTAGACATTTATGTTCAGCAGTGGACGTCTTATGACTTAAGTAACGATGATGTTGAAAAAAAAATGCTTAGGATTTCCAGTCCAAACTAAGAGAAGTCTACTCACATGTCCTCTGTCCTAGCCACAGGCATATTGCTCAGGGCGATCATAGTCCTCGGCCGGACCACGCTCAGGTCGAACGGCGTCTTGTACCCTGGCTCGTCGAAGCAGGGGAACATTCTCCTGGCGTTGTTGGGACGCAGCTGCGTTGCCGCCACCATCCTACAAAATGTATTACTTTTATTAAAAGGTATTTAAAGTATCTTACTCGTATTTATCTTGTAGGTTAGCTACACCAACTGAGTTATCTTAGATCCTAAACATTTCGATCCACCGGAGAATCGAACACAGAACTAAAGACACATTCAAAAATCATTTTCGAAGTCTTTTCTTGATAAAATCGTATCGTACTAAGTTTATTTAAGAAATAATCTTAATCTGCTCTTTTTACTTGAATGATAAAATGACTTATAGAAAAAGGTAATCGGATGAAAAGAGGCTTACCTAAGATTCGTATTATGTTGGTCATTATTAACGAACGATAAGGGTAGTATTTAGCGTTGAAATAAATCGTAAGCCTATGACATGCTCAGTTCATAAATCTCTCCCAGCCCATTACAAAAAGATAAAGAGCCTCGAATTTTATTGCCGAGAAAATGTAGGTAAGGGTTTTTACCTTTGAATTGGTATAGCTATAAGTTTCTAGGGGCTTGAGCAATCCCAAGCATTTCAACCCTACTCTGCGAAAATATTTCGCATTACGTAATTTCGGCTCTACCTGTCTCATTCACTCGCCTTAGGTCCGTAAGGAAAAGCGAGATATAGAGCTAATAATGCGGATATAGTATAGCAGAATTGGACCCCTAGAAGAATTCAAGATTCGAACTACATTTTTGTTGAGTGAATTCGTATTGCCTCGTAAAATATTCAGGGGATTCCCGATTCCTCTACCACCACAGAATATTTAAAATAGTAAGCGATTCCCGATAATTTTACGGTATGTACTACATACAATTAAAGTACCTACTGAGATTATAGATTTTATTTTATTACAGGTTTTATAATGTTACTGATATGAAGATTTGAGGGAAGGCTTTTTTTCAGCAATGGAAGTCTACGGGACTTACGCTGAAATTAATAATGATTGATGTAGGGAGAGTATCAGTACTTAGTTGAGGATATTACTTTTAATTACCACTTACAATTTTTAATCCAGTTAGTGCGAGAAAAAATACGGGTTTTACCCAAGTCAGACATACATATTTTAGATGATAATAAAAATTTTATGGTATTTACTCATTAAGTCCATTTATTCTTTTTAGCTCTTGCCACTCTTGGACAATGGATGCTTCTATGCTTACCTCTCAACCTCCTGTTCCGTGGTGTACGTAGTCTTGAAGAACGCCTCAGTGGACCCAGTCTCCAGGTTCCCATTGAAGCTGATGAGAAGATGGCCTATAGACGACGCCGGCACCGACTTCTCTAAGTATATCGTCAGTAATGGCTTCTTCAGGTCTGGTACCACTTTCCTGACTGAAATCTTCTGGAGGTCCCTGCTGTAGATCAACATAGGTAAGAATGAGTACAAGACCACTATAATAGTATCAAATCACAGAGTACCTAGTTGTTAAGGCTGATTTGCACCACTTAACCGTAACTGTAACGATAACCGGTGCTTTTTTATGGACTTTGTTAGATTTTTGACGTTTGTTAAAGTTAAAGTAAGATGGTGCAGCCCAGCCTAAATGTTCTAACATCAGTAAGTTACTTCTATAGCATTTTACAATTACTCATAGCCATTACAAAATGGAGTACCTAATAAGTTTGCCGTTAATTAAAAATAGCGATGTGTTTGAATAGAGTCATAACAGCAACATTTAATACCGTCCTATTTTAGATGGTAGGGTAGAACCAACCCTAATATTGAAACCCAAAATACAGCTATATGTATTTTAAATACCCAATGTCGCATTTTCAAAATGCCAAAATGTATTGTTTCATTTCTTAATAGGTACAGTTACAGTCCATAGAATATTTAGGAAAAATACAGCTGTAAATCACTTTCATCAATACGAACAACAAAATTAAGCTGCAAAAACACGACGTTGTGTGAATAATAATGAACCGATCAAATTCACGGAAACACCAGGCTCGAGTGAGGTAATAAAGTGAAATATTTTTAATTCTGAAAACCGTTTTTCATCTAGCTAAACTCGAAGCGGGTCGAATCGTTGACTCATTCCGTCGAGATTGTTCACGTTGTTCGAATAATCCAATTCATACTGCTTTGGAGCCACCTTATCGGGTACTTATAATTAGAAGTCGTACGCATTCCTTTGTATTTCATTTGGATTTAAATTGTAATTATTTTGAAAGAAAATGAAGCTTTTAGCAGATGCAGTGCAGTAAAGGTTTGACATGTTTTACATACATAAATAGAGGTCACATGAATCATAAGATACCTCACTAATCTAGTCATACCCTTAGACAAATTACGTGTTATGTATCGGGATTTATTTTTACAATAGTTTTTATGTCATTCATCATTATGTACACACGTGAGTGTAATTTTCTTATACACATAAGAATCAGTCTAAATTACTTACGAATTAGCTGGAATATGAGCCTTAACTTCAGTTTCAGTGATTTCTAAATCGTGTCCACTGTGAATGTTGATTTCGTCTGAATCCTTCAGCCAGGTGATGTTGATGCTGACGTGGCCCTTGAACAGGCCATCTTCTAGGTACGGTTCGAGCTCTAAGCGGTAGCCAGTTGGCATCACAGTCTTTTCCAGACGTGTTTCCATGGTCAGGCCATGGTTGTTGTTTAGGTCGATGCTTCTCGCTCTGATGATGTGGTTTGCTGACACCTGGGAATAAACATTGGAAAATACAATTTCATTTCCAAACAGCGTTGTTATCTGTTGTCAATAAACTGAGTCAGAGTTATGTTGATAGCTATACATGTCGTCCACGAAAATCATGGCCGTATGGCTAACTTTATCATACAGGCAGGGGCTACACTCTACTGTTGTATGGTTGCATCCTATATAGATTAAAATAGCTGTTGTTTCGCAACCACATGTATAGTCTGATGTACAGTTAGCACACATAACAACGCTGATAATAAACATAAGACTCCTCTCCCGACCCTCCTTCAGTTCTAGATCGACTTATTATGACGTCACGGCCTGTCAAGCCGCAGCCATTTGTTAAAGATTAGGATGTGATCGTCAATTGTCACGTAACCTTGAAAGCTGATAAAATTCTAGGGCTGTTTAATCTAGTATGATCTGCCGCAATCGACTTGTCCAACCACAGTTAAGATATGAGATTTAAAAGACTTCCTAAGTACTAATAATTCTCACATATTGAAGGTGCACTTTCCTGCTTAGGGTTTTTCCAACCTAGCACTATAAAAAAGATTGATACGGCTACATGTTTATAAAAACAAACTACCTTTGTTATGACGGCAGCATTGACATTGCGATAGCAATTGAAATAGTACAACGTTGTACCCCAACACGGCAAATGTTGCTCTACATTTATTTTGTTAGGGCGCAATAGTTGTTAATGACCATTTTGATGTTTATAATGAGCATAGTTATCGTCTTTAAATAATGTAATTTGTCTTAATTCTTTGATACAAAATTACATCCAAATTTTCAGCAAAATGTGAATCCTAAATGTAAAAAGCGCTTATTGAGTTATTCTTTGGAAGGTAACTACCATTTATGTACTGCGTATGTTTCAAAAACCCTATTGTGGTACCTATTGTGCCCCAAATAGCCCATTGCCTCAAAATAAGTGCCTCCATTAAATGACGCTGAGATCCGGTGGCACTCCAGATAGGGTTGCCTCGTTAAGGTATTTTGTAGAAAAATGGATGAAAAGTGACACCCATTAGATGAAAGATTCGTCCTTGCAAAGGGCGAACTAAAGCGACGTTGAACGAAAAAACTTTTACTTAAGGACAAGAGTAAGGAAGACTGATGAACTGAGAAACCACGTTAGTGGTAGATGCCGGTTAGCAATGAATTGAAAAAGGAGAACTCATTGCATAACTTATTTCTGTTGCTAGCAATAGAAACTAACTCTACCTCTGCCCTCTTACTCTTACTATCTGACTTTACTTTGTAACTTTAATGAGCCACGAATATAAACTAATAAAAAGTCATTAGTCGTACATCGTACTTGAAAAAAGCATGCAAAAACAGTGGAATACAAGCAATGATAATGTATCACAAAAAAATAATTTCAACAAAAGACCGTGGGTATCCTCCTACTCCACCTGGAAAACTTAATATGATGCAAAGCTCTAGGGATTGTCAATCCTATCTTTGTGGCAAATAAACAATGAAACGGCGAGGTGAAATGACAATCCATTTTGCCCTTTTTTTAGAGATTTAAAATACTGAAAAGTGGTAAAAATCCCATGGACAGCCCTAGGGATAACAAACCTTATCCGGCGGCAGGCAGTGCGCCACACAGAGGCACAGGCCCGCGGTCACGACGCCCCACACAAACATCCTGTCCTCAGCGCTCCTTTGATCTGCACAAACGCGTCACGGTTTATTTACATTCGTCTTTTCATAAAAACCATAGGAAAAAACGGCACAATCTCATTCTGAAAACCTAAAAGAGCCTTTTATTTTTTTGTCAATTTGTTATAAAAAAATCGAAGGTTTGTAAAAATAGTTGAGCGGGAATACCCGCTAAAGAAACAAAAACAGCACACATGTTTACAGGAATGGTTACGGACCAAATTAAATATGAAATAGATATTACTAGTTCAGGTAACTAACATGTTTTACGAGAATATAATTACACATTATCTTTGCTAATGTGATACCTAAGTAAACATTGTTGTCTACTTATCTGAGAGTGATATTCGATTTTGTGAGATCTCATAATGATAGCTCTACTGCTATTGATTCTCAGGTGATAAATGCAATAATGATAGGTAATAAGTAGTAGCGTTGTTTAAATCAGTCTTATAAAAACAAGCTCAGTATGTTTAGGTGCGCATGTAGCAATAGGTATTAACACCTTTGTACCACGTGGAATGTAAATAATGACCTATTCTATAGATGTATGATTAGCACGGCAAAAATCGCACTGTTTTTGTAGCTGTAAAAACATTTGCAGAACTGTAGATTTGTAGGGGTGAAAGTTAACAATGGGGATATCCTATTTTAGGAAAACTCTGACAATTCGATTTTTCAGTCAAATCAACTTATCCCGGTAACATCTCACGCTTAAATTGATTAGTTTCAATAATGATTACGTTGGAGACCTGCAGAGTTGCAAGAGTGAAATTAACAATAGAAAAATCCCATTTCAGGAAAATCTCATCAATTCCGAAGATGATTGACAACAGTTAAGTGCAGGAAAACCTGCCTATAATGCGGGAAATATAAATATTGTGCAAAATAAGACGAAACTCACCTGCAGATGTCCGCCTGACGCGAACTTGAGAGAGACTGGGAGCGCGCGCGCAAAGGACCCCTCTCAATTGCCAGGATATGCCTCGTTTGCAATGACGACACTCCGATTGTGTTCCCTCGTTAATAGTATTTACTAGTGGGCACGACGATTTCGGAGGCACTGGTTAGGGAACAATAAATAGGTACCTATGCGAAATAACTTCTGTGAACTCAGAACTAGGTCTTCTGAAGGTCGTTTGGGCGGAATGATGTCATTTATATCAGCCAACACTCGTCCTGAAAAACAATATAGCTCTGGGGATCTGGGATTGCTTTCTGATGTGACCTGTTGTTATCAAGTTACAAAATTAAATTATGATTGTTACACAGATATATTGATGACGAACCAGACAACTAGAAGATCAGATTACTTCAAATCTCGCAGCATTTGGATCTCATAGGGAAGATACAACTAGAGTCATACCTATCTGACCTACAAGTCATAATTATAACTTTTAGACTAGTAGAATATAAATGAAATTTAAAAAAAATCATTTTTCGTAGCTACGATGATACGAACCAGGTCTTAACTTTATTTAAGTCAGCTTAGGAGATCTAACTATATTAGGTAACCTATTTCGTCGTCATCATTTTGCTCATGACACAATGCACTACAGGACATAAGTAAACTTCCTCAAAAAGTCAATTTAAAATTTTAAGCAGAAAGAAAAATATCATAAAATATAAAAACATAGCTTTCATAAACACGTGCAGTGAAACCCTTCGTCATTCCAATGGCCCATAAACACACGTCATAATAATGCAAAACAACACCCAATAAATGCCAATCCAATACGAAAACGGAATAAAACCGTATCGTAGCTCGTTTTATTGTCCAATAAGCCAACCCGCGCATATAACATACTCGTAACTATGTCATATAGCATGTAACGTATGTCTGCCACATCTGGCCGAGTCGTGAAACAAATCACTCATTACAGATTTATCTTGCTTTATTATCCTTTTTATGATCTACATTCGCTTACCTTATTCATTTTTAATTGGACAGTAACTTGAACTTTAATTGAGTAGTTTGACTAAAATACGTAATATACACAGCTAGGTATAATCTGGGCTTCTCGAGTAGGCCTATTTCGTAAGTATAGATACGTAAGTGTACGGTCTTAAGTAGGTGTACAGCTGGTTCCTGAGAATCTTGAAGGTTCTATTCTATGGCTATATCAATAAATCTGAGTTCAATCACCGTATTATTTTATACGCATTTTTCCTAAAGAAAACCTAAACCCTACTTAGCTGTTCACAACAGAAAAGAGTTAGCGAAACGCTTTGTTCGAGCTAGTGGGATGTCGATAACATAAGGATGGCACTTTCGAGCGTCTAGTTCCGCCGAGGTGAAAGATTCTCTTTTTTTCAGTAATAGATCTGATAATTACTACGAGTTTCAGGATGTCAATATTACTCACACACTGAAATAAGTATTTCCTGGAATGGAATAAGGTTTATTTCCCCAAAATTGTGGTCATCAGATAAGAAAATCCAGTATAAAGTTAATCCCAAAATTAGTGTCCATGCAAAATTATGCCCATTGCCCATATCATTTTAATTATATTTGCTGACCGCTTTTTCCAGCAATTTTAATTTGATTAGCAGCTATAAAACAATAAAGCGCACTTATGTTTATGATGCTCTAATCATGGTGTGCCTGATGATATCACTTTGTTTCCTTTCTTACTCATTATCATTAGAGATGTGCTCACTAGTAATGACCAGTATAATGAACTTGACCTCAGAGGAATGACGCATTAGTTAAAAATCGGTTCTCTTCAAGGTCAGCCCCTGGTAGGGTTGCCATCCGCCTAGTGTTTCCCGAACTGTTCCCGCTGTAAACGGTCATACGGGAAGGAATTTTCGGTATCCAAGAATTGGGATAATCTTTTGGTAAATTTGGATGAAAAGACTAACTGAAAATGATCATGAATAGTCTTAAGATAAGTTGCATGTAACACAATTTGTAAATAAATAAAACTAGTATATTTTCAGTATTGGTAGCCCTATCTGGATAATGTTTACTACAAATGGAAGCTAAAGTTGACAATTTAATACCAAGGTGAAGGCAATTTCTAACGCGTTAAGTGTAATATTACAAAACGGAGATAATTCTCATAATGATATGCACTGAAATTGCAATACTGCTATTTTGTACGTAGTCGAAGGTTTCTTTTAATGTCTGACTAATAAAGACTTGGATGGAAAATCATTTGAACTATTCGAATCGATAAGTACCTGCCTACCTACTATGAATTTCGGTATCCTTCCGTTTGGCCAAATTACTTTTCGCCAAATGTCACTTCGCAAACAACTTATCGCCAAAGTTTCATTTCCCAAATGAACTTTTAGCAACTGTACTTTTCGCAACTAATTCA